TTTTTAACAAACATTTAAAAATTTTTAATACTCTTTGCGCTTTAGAAGATATACGTACTTAGGAACATCTATTTGTTGTTTGCTTAGGCGGTTCTCAATGTACCACCTGCGGCAATAACAATGCACGGTTCTCGGATGCAAGTCATTACGCTATTGTAATCGCAGGAAGTCGCGTTTTTGGAGGACGCGCTGATGTTTTATGACATTAAATCAATTTCCGCGAAATTTAAGATCCGAATATTTCTTACGATAAACATCAAATAAATGCGCGCCACTTTCTTTCGATTAAAAATATCGTTGTCCCTCTCTCTGATGAGTTTCCACTTCCGGTGATTTTCACGACGTTACGTAAATTCCGCATTCAAGTCGATTCGCTGATTAGCTGCGTCATGGTCATATTACATATAAATTTAATTTAAATACTTAAAAAAAGTAACATTTTTTAATAGAGGATGAAAAAATATCATTCAGTAAATAAAAAGATTTTAAAAAGTTTAGATTAATTTATAATTTGAAGGAATTTTTACAGAGTTTAATAGCTATTTTAATGAGAAAAATCTTTGTTTTAGTGAAATATTATTTTGTTAGAGAGAGAGTGGGAGAGAGATTAAATTAAATTTTATATTAATTGATGTATATTTATTGTTAGAAATTGAATTTATTAATTTTTTTTAAAATAAATAAATTTTTACTTGATGATTTATCATGATAAAAATATTATTGCAAGGCAATTACTCTCTATGTAGGTAAAGTTATGAATATGTAAACGGGACGAGCAATGAAACTTCGATTTTTATGAAGTTAACATATTAGTTATGATAATGGATGCGTAGGAGAGGCAGACGATCGAGAGATTCTTTTCTATCGTGGGCAGTTTTAATAATGTATGCGACCGAAATTCTTTCGGAATTTTTTTCAATAATTGTAAAAAATAATTTTTTTATAATTTATTTATAGAAGTATAATTTAAAAAAATATATATTATTAAATGAAAAACCACATAATTTTTTAAAGTAATTATTAATTATTTTGAGATTAATTTAATGTAAAATATTCACTTGCTGTTCCACAAAAATTTTAAAAATAATATTTTTACGTATAAGAATAAAATTAAAAATTTCTTTCTGAATTTTGTAATACATGTTTTGAATGTAATCTTGTAAAGAAAATTTTTGCAAATGACGCAGAGATATATTGCATAATTCGAGGAAGTCTGTTCTACAATTGCGAATTGCGATATTGTACTTCCAATACAATTATTAGCTATCCTGCGTTTCCCATACCGAAATAGGACATTTCCTGTCCATTTTGCATAACAACTAACACAAATGCAAAATAGTGTGCCATATTCCAATGTAAGTCATTTTTTTTTAAATAAGCTATTCGTTAATTTAATCTTAAAGAGCATTAAAAATATATACGCAACATTTATTTCTTCGTCAATTATCTTTTTCTAAAAGATAAAATTATGTTTTTTAAACTGTCATTCATTTATTATAAAATAAATAAAATTTAATGAAACGCGATAATGAAGGTGACATTTCGAATCCGTTATTTGATCTTATTCCATTTCCGTGTCTTATTCTAGAACATTTTTAGAAGAAAGCGTGCCAAAAACCCATGCACGTCTTGTCTGAATACGTATGCAGATAACGGAGATTCCCCTTCCAAGAAAGAAACGAGCATTGCACTATGCTCCCTCGCATAGACATAATTAAATACTTGTCTGCGTAACTCGACGATAAACGCTTGTTTGAAGCGCGATATGCGCGCTGCTAATTTCAGAATGTTTCTCCCTCGATTAGCGATTTCATTCTTGCGTCAGCATATGCGTGCGAGGAATTACAAGTTGCTTTGTCCTAAAGAGCACAGGTGAATTTATAGCTGATGCAAACATACATTATTCCCATATTTATTGATAATCTTTGAAAAAGAATTAGTAATTGAATAAGGTAATTGAGACGTGCCACAGCAAGACGTTGTAAGTGTAATTAATTAAAATTTTTTACAGAGATTGAAAGATGGAGTGCGTTTTCTTAAAAGTTTTTCATGAAAACTAGAAACTCATTTTCTTGGAAATTATCATTTCAAAAATTCTACAAAAAATGAATACAATAATTAAAAAGCATCAGTCTGCAAAAAAATTTTTAACTAATTTTAATTTTTTTTTAAATTGCGTCAAAATTGTTTAAATTTCAAAATGTTTTAAGTCCAAGTAAAAATGCAAGTTAAAACATTTTAAGTTCGAATAAAAATACATAATCAATTACATAATGGACTTACAACGTTCTGCACTATTCATTTTTTTCGCTTATAGCAGCAGAGGCTTTCCACCTCAAATATTAGAACACAGCACTTACAATCCGTTTATATAATAAAACGCATTTCATAATTTTGGATTTACAATGTTTTTGTCGTGACATGCCTTAATTAACGTGTACCTACAATCTGACTTCGGAGCTCAAATTTGCAGATTTAAAATTATTTGAACTGTGACAGAATTATGAATACATTTTCGATCGAGTTAATAAAAGAAAAAAAATCCACTCACGCGAAGCGGCCATGGTCATCGTTGTTTCATGGCATAGATTCTTGCCATTTTATAGAATCGTTGCGTCAACGGTGGAATAAAAATGTTGTATGCAATATACGCGAAAGTCTCCGTGAGCGAAGATACTGAAGATATTGCAATAATGTCACATAAAGTCTCTTTGCAGAAATATGACAAAACCAACTCTGACTCGGCCTTGTTCTTCATTTCAATAATGATTTCTCAATCATCGCGTTTGACTTTGATAATATCTAATTATGTCGTTTTTTACTTCCTACTTTTTTGCTGTAAAGGTTACTATATTGTGGATGAAAGAGAATTTTTGAATAATTTCTGCAATAATTTAATCCTCCGTCTTCAATAAGACTTTTATTCTCTTCGTTTACAATCTGGGTCTTCTGTCCAGCCCAAATTCTTTTTACTATTCTAGACATTCAAAAATATAGAAAAATTCAAAGTTATTTTTCAACGTTTCTATTACATCAAATCATTTTTTTCTAATTATTTCAAGAGAGAGGAATCAGATCGCTCTCTTTTATTTCGGAGAAATTTGAGAGTAAAATTTCGCTTGTATAAAAAAAGAATGGATTGTAAAGTTAGCATGATATTTAATTAATAAAAAAAAAATAATTACACTTTTAGTAGCACTTTTTATAGTTATCTCCAATTCTAGAATTTCAGTAGCACTTTTTATAATATTTTATACTTTCTATTCAATTCTAGAATTGGAAAGAGGAATAAGTTGAATCTCGATTAAGAGATAATCGTAAATTGTGGAACTGTAGCCCAAAAGTGGAAATATTCATTTTTTTCTTGTACTTTAGAGGGAAAGTGTCATGCTAGATTCGCGAAATTAGGACGCTATATTTTTAATTTTAGTTTTTTAGTATAAAAAATACCGAATTTTTTTTTATTTTTATGTAAGAATTATAGAACTACGAAAAATTCTACTAGAACTGTAATTATTTTTTTATTAATAGAATGTCGTGCTAATTTCACAGACAAAAATATTTCAGTTTGCAAACGGAGAGAGTTAATATATTAGGTGTTGGAATTAATTCGTAGCGTTTTTTAATGAAAGAATGTTATTTATTTCACATGAGCATTAAAAAATACATTAATGAAAGTACTTCCCATCACTTGTAAAACGCTACGAATTAATTCCAACACCTAATATTATATAACATATTTAAAAATCTTAATATATCGATTTTTTATTTATTAAAATAAATTATATTTATATATGTAGGTTATTGATAGAAGTAGGTTGACTGTAGCGAGACTTCTTACCAGCGTTCTGTAAAACAAAATTTCGCTATCTATGTACCGTTATATATCTTGTCCAGTTGTTACACCGGATTACTTTAATTACGCGTTTGATTATCGGGTCACAGTTACGGGGAAAGCAAAAGGATACGTTTACGCGTAGTTTCATATTGCGATGAAATAAATAATCACATGGCTATATGCGATAATTCGGAGTACTGAAAGCCAGTCGAACGTGAAATTCAGTATGTAGGACTGTAGCGGCCGCTGTAGCGATAGCCGACTAACATTATTTCGAAGGGATTTAAACGGTTCGCGCGGCACGGGGAAAACCGGTTCTCTCCATCGTCGTGCATGACGCCAAGTAATGGAATTCCTTTAAGTACCGTTCAAAGTTGCATCAGGATCCAAGGTCATTAAGTATCTCTACACGGGCAGCGATCTTTATCCGAACTCGCGGATATTTGTCCGGTTGCGATTCTAATCGAGAAGTGTGCGATACAATCGCGAAATACCCAGGCAGAAACTCGTGTCTCGTTAAATCTGTACAGTAGGCATTTGTGAATTCAACCGTATTACACAGCGAGCTGTTTTTGTCTGCGCGCTGCAGAAGGTTGCACACCAATACGGACGAAACGTCAAAAAAACTGCAGTGTCATTCGACTGAAAAGAAATATCTAGTCTCATTCCGTTTCTATCTTCTCTGTAATGCGGACGTGGAATGAGCGATCTTTATCGAGATCCAGTAAATTATAATTGCAAAGTCATTAAAAAAGTTATGCTAATGATAAAATTATATTAGATTATATATACGTAATGAAATCCAATTTATGCATATATAACTTCCGTATGTCTATTTATATTTGATGAATACCGCTTTGTAGACTAATTTTACTACATACTTTTTTATTTTATATATTATATTATTTATGTATAAATCATATATAGGATCCTACTTCTTGGTTATTATTATTCAATGATAGATTGTTCAATTTGAAGTCGTTTGTTCCTGCATGCATATTATCTTTTATACATTTAATAACAGTTCTATATTTTTCTTCCATATAATATAATAATACATGTATCATCCTTATGATACATGTATTTTTTATTCAATAAGAGTTCTATTTTTCTTCAATTTAATAGAATAATATATGTATCATTTATTTTCTTATCGTTTCAGAACACGCAGAAGTCAATCGATTCTAACGACACGGGGCACAGCGACAGTACCACCGTTGTGCAGACGACGACCGATGACAAAGAGTCTAATATGCGGGAAAATGGCAACGGCAATATGAACCATGTGCACGGTACGGGTAATGGCACCCTGGGTACCGCGGATGGTGCGAACAACAGCGAGCCTCGATCCTTGAACCTGACGATGAGCGCGAAGGAGCTCAGGGAGATGCTGGCACAGCGCAAAAAATACGATCCGAAGAAAGAGTCGATCGGCTTCAAGGATAAATTCGACATCGTGCAGAAACTGTAGACGCATTCTCGTGTCTCTCTTGTGACTCGGTAATCCTTCATTCCTTTATTCCTTCCTTTTCCGTCGTCGTCGTCGTCGTCGAGCGCTCGACGACGACGACGACGATGGTTTCCTTTCTATAATATAACACATTTTGTTGTAACCGATCAAATTGTTGTCGTTATAATAAATACACGATTGTTTAGATTATATCGTGAATGTTAAGCAATGACGTCGATATCGTAACATACATACATTTATTTGCAACGAGAAACGGTGCTGCGAAGATTAGAATATCGAAAGGAGATAACGCTGTTTCTATAAGTATATTGTTAATTTTTAGTTTATATTACTATTTTTAGTTTGAAGGCGAATTTACATGTACAATCTTTCGCTTCCGCGCCGGAAGTTACGACAGATTTCGAGTCACCGGTCCATCAACATTTAATAGAACTATGAAATACGAAGAGTTATAATTTTTTTTAAAGAAAATTTCTTATTTGTCATTTTTTCATTTCAGATCATTAATTTTTTTTTATAATTATTAATGGTTATATGATAACCCGAGAATTTTCATTTTTTCCTGGAGTAATAATTTAGTCTTAAAGATGTTCCTGTTGTAATTAATTACAATGCTTCCCGATTAGTGAATAATTAAATCTCACTCTTCCGACTCGATTATCCATGGTGTCGTCATATTAATTTCTAAGCACTCGACAGTTAAATTCGGAAGATTCGCTCGCCGCTTCTTCCCACGACTTTCTCCGGCGAGAATTGATCTGCGCCATCCCCTGATGTAGTAATAGTCTCGAACGTTACGTCGATCATGTGAATTTTTTTACCGATAGAAGACGGTTTCTAATTCCCAGTCGCGCGCAATTGAGAAATAATTCGTGATAAATATTCTCGCTTATATATATATATACGAAGTCTCGACATTTTATTGATTAAAAGACCAAATGTTTAATTAATCATGCTCAATAAATCATAGGAAGTCAACATAGAAGTTCATAAATTAATGTTACAACAAACGTTTAATTCGAAAATAATGCCTGGTGTCTTGAAGAACATCTGTCTTCCATTTTGCTAATCAGTTCGACTTACCGTTCGATTTATTGCAGCTGCTCTCGGTTAAGGCTGTATAATAAGGATTAACATGGTTGCCAAAACGACAATTTGATGTCGACACGCGGAGAATTCGATGCGCGCGGAATTTCTCGATAATCGTGCGCGAAGCGTAGATAATGTTTGCGTGATAATGGCCAAATGACTATTGCAAAACGTCGACGTTGTATTCGGAGATTCGTAGTCGCGGCACGACTGTAAGGACTCGCAAGGACGGACGTTCCTCGCGTGCGCGCTGCAACAGGTCTATGAAATCAGTTAGTCGTCCGACACGACGTGCGGTCCAAGGACGAGCGATCTGGGAGAAAGTACAGCCAGACGAGTACAGTCGGACGAGTCTCGGTTAATCTCCGTTATCGAATTCAGGACGCGAGTTGTTTTTTACGTTGCACGTTGCAACATCGGGCGGATCAACTCAGGAATTGAACATCCATGCATTTTATAAATTACGATGCGTCATACCTTGTAGTTTGCTCAGGCCCGATTCGGTACTTAACGCAGTTAATTGGAGCACTAAGATTAATGTAGGCATAACAATACTTGCATTTTGTGATTAAACTTCTCATTACAATTAATAATTGCACTGATTAAATAATTCATTATGGTAATTATTTTCTGTATATTGATAATTCGTGTAGCGCACAGTCAAGCTAATGCAAATCAATTGCAAAAGTTTCTAAATTTTACATTTCTCACATTTGATTTTAATGCTTCAATGAGATAATATGGACAATTTTATTTGCGACGTGATTTTGTTTTCAAAGAGGATAATAAGAGATAATAGTTCAATTATATTTTTCGATAAGAAATTGTATCATAATTGATAAACGTATAGAGTTAGTGACTAATCGGACCAGTCTAATTCTGCTGTAGTTAAGATTTAATTATTAGCTTAACGAACTAGTTATCTCAGATGATAGATTATGAATATCGCCTTGTAATTAGTGATGTTGTGTTATCAATGCATTTAATAGCCGCAAGAAAGATTTTTTCATAGATTTTTTCTAAACCATTTTATTCTTGAAATTTTTGAAAAACTCTTCAAATACAATATTAAAAAAAGAGATAAAATTAAATTTTTTAAACAGATGTGCATCGTTTCTAGCTCATCTTGCTTTTGCATTTCCTTTTCTTTAATGATAGCTTCCGGTTAACGACTGCCATAGTTGTTTATTGTCACTTATTCTTTGGGAAAATCCAAAGAAATGTAATTAAATGTATTTCTTACATGCGTAATATGATATAAGAAAAATAGTCGTATAAGAAAAAAAGTGCAACAAAAAATGGGAAAACTCAAGGGTAATTAAGATAAGAGAATAGAAATTCGATCGTTTAAAGTGCGTTACATCTATAATGGAAACATTTACGAATGAACACGTTCCTCAAAATATTTTTTCACTCAAAGGCGTACGCACAAAATGCCCATTTCAAACGAAACGAAATCGATTGAGCACGTGCGGCTTTCTCGGAGCGAATATTATCAGGGAACGACGATAACAGTGGCTCGGCAAACAGGTACGGGTGTTCTGAAATTTATAACTCGCATTCGTGACGTGTGTTTGATAAACCGACTTGTCGAAGGTATTGCGTAATCGACGGAGCAAGAATGTCGCGTTACAATGGCAACGCGAGAGAGAGAAGCCTTCTTTCGGGATTCTATCTTTGTTTTATTATTCGCCGAGGCTCACGGAAAAGTTGGATACATAACTCGAGATTCTCGTTACTAAACATTACGACGACACGTTACGCAACGTTCAATTATCGCCATCGTTGTCGTTATGCATTCACCTGTTGAGAGTGCGCAGGCGTCACGTTTCCGAGATATACAAGTATAGTTTGTGCCTTTTTGCATAAATATGTATACAGCCTAGTGAACAAAGCTTCTTTATAATCTGTTAATATTATTAATTCTAACAACATTCAGATTTTTTGAGATTGAAACATTTAAAAATCATTATTGAAAATTATTATAATAGAAGCAAGATAGTTACAATAACATATTATAGAATATTAAATTTTGCTATTATGTGTAAATAAGGATTTATTAATTTTTCTCTTGTCCATAATTTTACGTAATATATATGTTAAAACTTTTAAAATATTTATTTTAATAAAATTAATTATTCTCAATTTGTTATCATTTGTCCCGAAAATATTAATTGATGCAGTTGTTTAACCAAACTTTCTTTGTAAATTTATGGACAACGTGACTGTTTGTTCGTCGTTGAATGCTTCCTGTTAAAACCAATTGGCTTTCGTGTCGCCAATAGCTACTATTAAATTCCATATGAATCTATTCTCCGAGTGATTTGGTTGGAGAACGAAGTTCTTTACGGGCCTGTAATTTATCACAAAAAAAATAGCAAAAGTGACTAATAGCGTTAAAACTACATGTATGTATACGCACGTACCTATTGCTCTGTACTAATTACATTTAGTGCGCATTAGACTGTTATGTCATTCAGTGGCTTATCCAAGTGAAAGTATTATAATGAGGCACCTGATCGCGCACGAAGCAGAGAGTTTGGTGAACGAAAATATCGTATCTATACACATATCGTGATATATTCTTACATTAAAAACGCATCGTGTGATAACGAAAGTAAAGTGAGCGGCAAACGACTTGAACAGAATTCTACTCTGATTGACTTCGACGTTTGTAATTAAAGATGGAAAACATTAATGCAATTCTCGAATGATTCAAATGTCAATTTTGAAAGAGAAATGATTAGAGTGTCAAAATAAATTTTACGCTGGTATCGTTTTAAACATGAAATGATCAGTGTAGATATTAATCGAAAGGGTGATTAGTTTATTCATAAAAAGATCAATCATTCGTAAAAGTATTGGGGATGTTTTGCTTAATTAAATTTAAGAGCGGAATATTAAATATATTATGGTTATATAAGATATATGAGTAAAATAATGTGATCAACTTGAAGCATATTTTTCAATAATCAGTTTTTTGCGAGCGTGTAATACATTGAAATCTCTCGACATGATTTCTGTTTTGCATAGACAAGCGTAATAGGGAAAAACAGTTTAATGTCTCAATAATATTTTTACGAATGCGTTTTGAGATAAGAAATGCGACAGAAAAAAGAATTTATATTTAATTAAATCGTTTTATTTTAACGATATTTTACACGGTATTTTCTACGTGTACTTAAAAGCCTAAGTATAAGAGCACACGATAGATAAAAGAATGCTTTACAGTAAGAAGAGACACAGATGACATAGTGTAACTCATTTTACTATGACTCATTTCATTTTTGTTTAACATTGACAATAAGGATGTAATGATTCACCGTGTTACACTATGTCATCTATGTCTCTTACTGGAAAACACGCAAAGTGTCGACCGACTGATTGTGTCATTTATGGAACACAATAAAAATTGTATCGGTTACATACTTATGTATGCGGTTTCATTCCATTCAAGGACTTTCTATAAATGATACAACAGTCGGCCGACACTTTGTCTATCGTGCGCTCTTGTCTTTAAGTGTTTATAATAGTAATCCATTTAATAATATGTATGATACGCTTATTTTGTGAGCAATGCAAATCCAGTATCGATGAAAATTGGAAAGAAGAATCAACTTAAAAATTGTTTAAAAAATTATTTCAGATGAGTTACGTCTCGATGAGAGTTACTATTTTCAACAGAATTTCTGCAATCGCTAATTACACTGCTCGCAAAATAAGCGATTTGTGATTAAAATTAAGATCATCAGGAAAACAAATAGTCGATGTGACGTTTAGGCTGTAATTTACGTGCACTATAGATTTTCAGTACTGGCAGTAAATTTTGGAACACAGTTCTTAGAAGTCAGGCTTTCGAATAATTCGAATTGTGATGCTCTCGCTCGTTAATTTTAAATGCACATTTTTTTTCATTTCTTTTCTTACATTTTTAAGATCTCTTCTTGTTTCGTAGGATCTTAAAGAACTCTAATCATTATACCGGCTTCTGTAAATATTAGATTATCGTGCATCAAGGTAGGCGCAACGATCAGATGCAAGGAGAATGACTAACGATAGTAATCACTGCACAAACAAATAAATCTTTCGTGCAATAAGATTCACTATAATTATCAGCAC